TAATTTAACGCACTGTTTTGCACCTGTTGTGCACCTGGTTTTGCACATCCGTTGCACTGGACCAGGCAGCTGCTCCGATAATACTTCGATATGGACAGGTAAGAGGGCATTACTGTATCACCAGCCTGCTGCCGGTGCTGGTTTGTCCGTTTGTCCATACCAGCTGGTAAACACCTGCGGAAAGGGCTGGTAAGTCAACCCTTGTTTGGAAACTGCCCGCCACGGGTTTTTGCTGTACCAATACAATGCCCTGTAGGTTCATGATTTGTAACTGCTCTCCATTGCCCGCAAAGGGATGGTTGACCATTATAAAAAATTTTGCCGGATTGGGATAAAGCTGCAGGCTTTGCGTGCTGGCTATGCTGGTATTTACCACTATTACTCCAGAATACACATAATGCCCGTCCTGGTCCACCATTTTAAGCCGGTAATAATTCCTGCCGGTAAAAGGGGCTTTATCTGTACTGCTGTAACGCAGGGTGCCGCTGCTGTTGCTGGCCGCGTTAATGTTGCCGGTGGCAGTGAAATTGTTTCCATTATTGCTTTTTTCCACAACAAACCATGCACTGTTCATTTCTGTACCTGTTTCCCATTGCAGTTGCACCTGGTCATTGATTTGTTTTCCGCTGAATCCGTTCAGTTTTACCGGCAGCAGGGTCTGGTCAAGGTTGATGGAATTATTATTATACGAAACAAAAGCAACATCACTGTTGCCGCTGAGTATAATTTTGAAATAAGCTACGCTGGATGCATTGCTGCTGTTGATGCCGAAGGCGCTTAAATCACTTGTCCATAAACGCAGGGGGCGATCTGTTTTGGTATAACCCGCCGAAAGGGTCATCGGGTTTTTGCTGGCTTCGTAAAAGTCGGCCGTCCAGTTGCCTACCGGCGCAATATTGGTTAAAACAATATCAACATAATTACCTACCCGGTTGCCATTGATATCTATAAATTCATACCTGTCGGATGAACCTGAAGGGTCTGCTGTCTGTGTAATCACTACATCAGGTGCACCGTCGTTAATAGAAGGGGTGAGTATCTTGCTTACCGGGAACAGCATGGTACCTGCAGGCAGGTTGGCTACACAGGTACCCAGGTCAAGGCCTTTGATGCCGTCTGTAAGGTAGCGCGGGATATTATTGGAAGGGGCAACAGCGCTGGCACCATTTTCAACGCCATCGTACATATAGCCCAGGCCAATCTTGGTATTGCCGTTAACGGCACCGGTGACTGAATTTACCGGCAATGCCCTGAAATCGCCGGCAATAAAAGACTGCCCATTGCTGCTTAGTAAGGCATCGTTTACCCCGGTGGAATAACGAACGCCATTGAATGAAAAAGCCACCAGGTTGTGGCTTTTGCCTGGTTTTACTGCATTGATGGCGGTAGCGGAAGATTTCCAGTAGCCATTATAATCGGTGATGATTTCAGTTACGTTAAACTGCGCGAAGGCGGAAACCGAAAAGAACAGTGCCAGCAAAATACTCAATGCCTGCTTTTTAATAAGGTCCTGCTTTGCTGCGATGCGTTTCATGAGGGGTAGATTTTGTGCCGTTGTGTTGCACGACAATCACTATAAGAGTGCCATAATTAATTCTGCTGATTATCAATTACTTGCAAGTAGATTGTAACGCCGTTTTTCCCACTGCGGGAACCCGCTAGTGTTTTCGGGAAAACAGCTTCTGGCAGGGGATTGCAGTTGGTGGACAGGCATAAAAAAACGCAGCCGGCAGCTGCGTTTCTTAAAAAAACTGAATTAACCGTTATTTGAAGATTTTGCCAAAGAAAGTTTTCATTTCAGCCCATGACGCTGTATCAGCAGCGGCATTGTAGGCAATGGGCATCTTAAATTTTTCTCCCACTGCGGTAGAATTGGGATTGGTAAAAGCATGCGTGGCGCCTGGGTATGTTTTCAGCGTGTAGTCTGCACCGATAGCATCCATTTGTTTTTTGAAAGCAGCTACTTCTTCAGGTTTTACAAATTGATCGGCCTCGCCATGGCATACCAGTATTTTAGCCTTTAGTAATTTTTTATCTGCAGGTACGCCCACCAGGTTGCCATGGAAACTTACTACCCCTTTCAGGTCTTCACCCAGCCTTGCCATATTCAATACCTGCGCACCGCCAAAACAATACCCAATGGCGGCTATCTGTGCGGTGTCTGTTTGTGCGTAGGATTTCAACTTTGCCAGGGCTGCATCAAAATGACTTTGTGCCAGTTTAACGTCTTTGTAGAAAGGCATGGCCAGTTTGCCGGCACTATCCGGATTGTCAGCAGTTTTTCCATTTCCATAAAAATCTACGGCCAGTGCTATATAACCCAGCTCCGCCAGTTGTTTGGCACGGCTTTTTGCATAATCATTCAGTCCCCACCATTCAGGAATCACCAGTATGGCGGGTCTTTTTTTATCGCTGCTTTCATCCCAGGCAATAAAACTGTTCATGGTAAGTCCGCCCGCGTTGTAGCTCACCGCTTCCTCCCTTATTTTTGGCCCCGTGGCAACGGCAGCAGCGGTATCAGTACTTGTTTTTTCATCTGCACCGGCAGGTTGGTTATTGCAGGCTGCCAGCAGCGCCAGCGACAATACGGCGCCTGTTAAATACAATGGCTTTTTCATGTTAATTGTTTTGATGTGTGTAGGCATTGTTACAAACAAAGCCGCCCTAAAGTTCGGTGCAGGGTACTTATTTGTATTTGCACCGGGCATTAGCAGCTTTCACGTAGTAGGATTTATAGTTAATGGCTTTGGGATCCATACAACCTTCCATGTTCAGCAATTCCACTTTCCTGAATTCCACCGGGTGACTTTCTGCCTGCAGGGCAATATAGCCGGTGGCAAGGGGTGTGCCATCTTTTTTTATCCAGTCCAGCGAATCGGCCGCAAAGCCGCCGGTTGTCCAGGTCATTCCCTCATTAACAAAACCGCCGCCCACTTTTGTATGCTCATAGGTTAATACGGTATCACCGTTAATAAGGTGGTGCACGATGGAATCTCCGTATACCAGGGCTTCTGCGGTAACCCATTCGCCTGAATAAGAATTTTTTGATTTGGAATCAATGCAATGGGCTGCTACCGGCGCACCGCCCATGCTTACTTCAGTACCCGGCGTACAGAGATTGCCGTTATGCCGTTTTTCTTTTTCATCGCTGGCCAGCAGCTGCATTTCCAGCGATACCGGGAAGGACTGGTTTTTGGTAACAGAAGCGGCAGACTGGGAATGAATCATTACCCCGCTGTTGAGGTAGGCGTAGGAGGGGCCTCCTTCCAGCTGTTTGCCGGTAAAGCGGTATTCTGTGCGTACGATATAATATGAGAAAGGTTGTTTGTAGTAGAGGTGACCAAAAGCGCCGTCAAACTTTTTGAAGCCACTGTAATCCACTTTTAAAACGCCGTCCTGCACTACGAAATTGTTATTGAAGTTTTCATTCAGATCGTGGCCGGTAATTTTAATATCCCAGCCGCTGAGATCCTTCCCATTAAAAAGCGGTATCCATTCTTCTTTTGCTGAACTGTTGTTTTCCGGGGTGGAGCAGGCTGTCAGCACTGCCAGGAAAAAAATACCCATGAAACGTATTGCAGGCATAATCGGTTGATTGCTGTAAATAATATTGTGTCACTAAATATAAGCATCAACCGCAGACAAAGTATCAACCGCAGCGAATAGTTTCGGGCGCATCAACGGAGCAATAAACCCGTAAAGCAGCAGGGGAGGGCGCCCTGCTTTTTTTACACGGTTAATTATTCATTAAAAACTTTTCCATTGCCACTGGTTACAAAATTTTTCAGGCGTGGATTTCCCCTGTAGTAAATACGACTGTTGCCACTTACTTCCCCAAATATTTTTTCCAGCGGTGTTACATAAGCAGTGCCATTGCCGGATACGTCAATATCTACTTCGATGGAATTATTATCATAGGCATGCAGCATGGCGTTGCCGCGGATACTGCCATACAGGTTTTCTGCATCTCCCTTAATAATAAGATCAGCATTGCCGGAGATGTCTACCTGCGATACGATGGCCGCACCATTCAGCGTGCAGGCTGCGTTACCGGACAGCACCGACCTGATAACAGATCCCTGGTCTTTGAATCCGCTGATGTTTCCTTTGGCTTCACCGGAAAGGTTTACTGCAGTGAGTGTTGGCAGGGTAATGTTCAGGTCAACACGGTGCCGGTTGCTTTTGTAGCGGTTGTACCCAATATTGAGTGTCTGGCTGTTACCAACTGAAAGATCAAGGTCGGCCAGGTCATCGGCGCAGCCGCTGGCATACACGCTGTAGCCAGAACCCCGGCTCAACGTAAGGGTGAAGGTTTCCCCGGCAGCTACTTTTGAAAAGCCGGTAACGGGGAAGTTTTTATCCGCGGGTCCGGGACAGGCTGTTTTTTCCCTGTTGCAGGAAACGAATACAAATGCCATAGCGGAAAT